CCTACACGACGCTCTTCCGATCTCCCCAAAACCCCAAAACCCCTAAAGCTGAAGTAGCCTTTCAATTAGTAATTAAAGTTTGAAATAGAGATGATGATAATAAATGATCTTAGATTTTAATTGATAAGCAATAATTTATTAGTTTTGATCGAAGAGCAAGACAAAATATGTACACTTTCCAAGTAAATCACACTACTATCAGAAGTGAGAGTGATCTCAACTCATTATCTGATAAAAGCTTGAATGGATAAAGGACTGTTATCAATAAAACTAGACCAATGAATTTTCAATTTAGAAAGCAATTGAAAGGAGCAAAGAGCTTTTAAGACGAATAAATACAAGAACTCCCTCAATCTCGTCAAATTCCTCTAATATCGAAGGAATTCAAACACCAAAAGCTTTAAATCAGATCATCAACTATTAAACATTAACATCGTGAAATGGATAGTATTTCGGAGTAGGTCTCGAACGAGAATGTTAGCAATAACTCGCCGATATTAATAACAATAAAATCTAGCTCTGAGGATAATAGCGCAAATTCAAAGAGACTTCTCCAAGATTAAAATATAGATAGTGCCCCCACCTCGGATGTGATTGACTTCAATCATTGTGGAAACAAATTTCCCTTCAATTTCAATGACGCCTATGCGTAGCAAACAGGAGTTGATGATGCATATACTATCTTTAAAAAGGTACATAATAATGTAGAAACTTAACTGGAGCAAATCTCTTAAGGTTCTGATACTTTCATTGACGATCTTCTCTCATACAATGGAGACATATTAGAAGATTATTCGTATCATACCAAACAATCTTAAGTCTTCTCAGGTTCGACATATAATTAGATTAGGCCGAGATCTAAAAGATACTAGAGTATGGTAATTGAAACTCTGTCTGGAGACTCTGTAAAAGGATCATAAGCCTCTGATCTTAAGGAAGTGGTATAATTCCCTCGATGATAAAGGAGTAAGTAATATTATCAACTTAATTTGCCATAGAATCTTCTATCCAATCAGAGGTGAATCTGAGAAAGAGTTCCTTTTAAAAAGAGTTAGGATCTCCTCTTCCTGACAATCAGATATTGTTACCATTTTAAAGACAGAGAAAACTAACCACAAATACTAAATAAGGCACAGCATCTTCTAGAAAATCCGTAGTCCTTCACAGAAAGCAGCCATCTGAGTCTTGTATCCCTTAAGATATTCTTGACAGTTGCGACAATCACATGAGCGCATAGACCTATAAGAACCTAACTCTTCAAATTTTTCATCAGATCAACTATATCAAATAGATAGATAGATTACCTTAAATTTATGACGATCAAATAATCCAATTCAAATACAAGAAACCAGGATTCAATAAATTGCTAATAATAGATTTAGACCAGACCCTGATTAATTGCCATCGAAGAAAGTAAAATCAGAGTAACACTAGTAGTGAGGAGGAAAATTAGGACTAGAGCTTTGAACCTCAGTAAAATCAAGTACCCTTAATACCTATTCAGTTTGTTGATACTGAGACAGGTTAAGTCTTTAAGACAGAATTCTCAATTAGACCTTTCGCAATAGATTTTCTTCGATAAGCTAATCAAAGATTCGAGGTCGCAATATTCACCGCGGGCTTCGATTGGTATGCCAATCCAATTTTAGATAAATTAGATCCTGACGGAGAACTTATTTAACATAGATTCTTCCGTAATCATTGCACTTACGTTGAAGAATAAGGTTTTTATGTGAAAGACTTGAGAATATTTAAGGGTTTAGATCTCAAAGATGCCCTGATTATTGACGATAATGTTTACTCATTCGCTTTCCATTTAGACAATGGAGTCCCTATTGTACCCTTCTTTGGAGACAAGGAAGACAAAGAAATGATTAAGGTTATTAAGTATTTGAAAAGTATATAAGATAAAGATGACCTTAGAATAATCAACAATAAGGTGTTTTAATTGAAGAAAATATTAAGGTCAAATATATCAAACTTTATTAAATACTATGACCTTGATGTAATTTCGGAACAATAAAAAAAGGAGGATGAGAAAAGTATTGATAGAGAGCAATCCATATTACTATAATAAAATCAACCTTGCAACGAGATCCTCTCAAATGTATAACAGGAAGATGAAAACAATTCAATGACTGTAGAGATACTTGATAACATTTTAATAGATGACAAATCATATTTCAACAATAATGATGGAAAAGAATGCTTGACTGCAGAACTTAATAAAAGATCTTTCCTTTCTTAAACAAAAAATATCTTCAGATCTTAAAACGATGAAGAATTAGAGAATGACTTCTTCGATGAAATGTAAAATCACCACAATCAGACAACTTTAGAAAATGAGGAGAGTGAGCGAAGAGAGAAGAGCTTTCATTCATACCCTTCAAAAAAATTATAATAAAAGGTTGGCATTAAAAAAGCAATTTCAAGCATTAGTCTGATGTCCTAACATCTACTTCACTATGTGCCACAATTGAAATCATAGAGTCTTATTTAAGAAGAAATTTAGTCATTTATTAAGCCACCTAAGAGGACCAATGACAATTAATTGAGCAAGTAAACCACTTAATTCAGCAAGAATATCTCTACAGTGTCAAAGAGTATCGAGTCTGATTTAGACAACTGGTAGAAAGCTTATTAGAAAATTTGCAAAAATGGCAATATTAATGACCTCATTAGATTCAGTCAACTAGATAAACTTAGTAACAACAGCAAATAAAATAAATAGCTCTACATGTAGAAGCATTTTAGTTACCCAAACGTATCAAATGTACCTTAACAAACTAGAAATAAACGATTACATTCAGAGTGAGCAACAGGGAAGACCAGACACTCACTCTTGAAGAAAATTGTAAACTATATCAATAGCAAATTAATAGGAGAGACCTCCGATTATTCTAATTTAACAAAATTTATAATACCATATTAAAAGTGATTAAACAAAATTTATCAACAATCAATCCTCGGGGTTTTGGGGTTTTGGGGTTTTGGGGTTTTGGGG